CTAAACAAACTATGTTCCGTTTTCAATAAGTTAGGTATTGTTGTTTCACTGGTTTAATTTGTGATCGTAAGGTAACCGACACATACATTCACTTTTTGTAGAATAGGATAATATAATGAATTCAATTTAATTGATTTTTCTTTTTTTTCAAATTAATGCAGCAAAAATTAAAGGAAAAACGAAACAATTAAACGCAAAAAGTATTGGAAAAAATAGAGGTGGTAATAAGATTGTAAATCATTTGATTAAATTTCTTCACCTTCAAGTGCGGCTTATCTGAAGAAAGTTAATTATTTTTTCTCAGGAAAAGAGCTCGATAGACCAAACCATATAACCACCCATCGAGTAAAGAAGCCTTGTTTTCATCATCTTGAAAAAAATAAAGACAAGAAATTATTGTGAAATTATTGCACAAAGAAACAAATTATGCAGGTACATAATTCCTCAAACGTCCTTTATTGAGAAACAACGAACTGGAATCAATAATATTAATTTCATTTATGCCAGTTTTTCGTTCCAGAGCATCCAGTTGCCAAGAGGCTAAGAATATTAGCTACTTTATCTCGTTAAATACGTTGAATTCTTTTTTTTTTTTTAACGCTTCATTTATGCAAATTATTCCGATAGAGATAGGCGAGGCCGTCTTCACGTTTCATGTACTTTTCAAAATGGTGACGCGAATTCGAATGGAAAAAACTGCCATCTAAAGCTATGATACCATGCCATTGCTCAGTTTGAACGTTTTTGCAATACGCAACGAATCTTCGTGATCGGAAAATTGGCAATATTAGTAAAAGCTTCCTCTAAGTTGCACGCGGAGGACACGTTGAAACTACAAAATTTAGGCTTGTACACTTTCTTTCTTTTTCGAAAAAAGCCTACATATAGCTTGCTAGCTTGCTGAAAAAAGCTTGGTGTGTAGTCTCCTATTATTTTCAATGGCCCGAAACAAAACGCCTGGCACGGGAATGTTTTCTTCAAAATGGTGGGCATGTTGGGGGGGAAAGATTTCTTAATTTGTCCTAACGAAGGAGTGATGTCGCACTTATCTGGACCCTCAAAACCGAGCTAAGTTGGGGATCAAAGGCTTGCACAAATAAATTTCAGAAACATGTTTAACTGGTGTATTTGATTACAGCCTTGTAAACTGAGTGTTTTTATGTAAATCAGTACAATGATAAGAGCTTGCAAATACATTAGTTAGACAATGTCAAAACTAGCTTGCTTATAACGCTCGATGATACATGGTAATTTGCAGTTCAAATCTTTGTTTAAAGCAATTTTGTTGGGTAATACTTGTTTAAGGATGATTAAGTCCTTATAAAGTGCTCTCCTATCTAAAAATTTGTGGTAGTTCTGTTTCCTCAGTCGAGGCCAAATTACACTGAAAATATTAAAAGCCACCCTTTATTTAACTTCTATGAACTTCTATGCTTTCTGTCCTGCTCCTTCATCTTGAATGTTTGTTAAAAATCCGGTTTGTCACGATTATGACAAATGTCAAAATCGTTTGCGCATTTGTTTTTGTTATGAAAGCGCAGGTGATAAGCTGAGTACAGCTTTTTCCGTTTAGTATCTGCACAGGAGTCGTAATTTTCGAATTTCCATGTTTTCATCTCCAAATCGTCGCTATACTTTAAATTTGCGCAGCCTATAAATATTCTTTTTGGTGAGTACTTTTTTCTGTCTAGCCGGCTCAGAAGTTTTTCCGGTAAGATGAAAAGTTCTGTCGATGCAGTAATTGATGATGAGAAAGACATTTGCTGCGAGAGGGCTGGTAAATGGCCAAGTTTGGTCAAAGGATGCTTACCTGGATACGGAAAAAGCTCCATTCGTTCGCTCTCGAGGCTCTTCACGTTCCCTATTTAATTTTGGGTGATATATTTTCCGCCATCATCAACTTGTGTGGTGATGGAAACAGAACATCGAGATCCAAAGGCGTAATGTATTTCAGACTTCACCGGAAATTTCTGCCTTTAAACTCATCAGCGAGCAAGATATTCAAGAGTTTGAGTCCACTGGCTAGAAATTGAACAAAGTTGTTTTTAAACTTCTCCTTCTGACGCTGCCATTATGACGTAAATAAGCGATAATTTCTTTCAAACAGGAACGCAACATTCATTTAAATTCTCTTTATTTGCAGGCTGCATACCAGCTTGACAGAAGTCAAAACTTGTCAAGCTTGAAAGTTGCATTTTTAATAACCGTAAGTATGTGTTTTATTTTGTACTCATTAAATGTTTCGAAGGAAAAGTATCCAAGATAAATAATTAGACAAATAACTAACAATTTTAACCTCTCAAGTATCATTTAATATCGTTTAAAATTTGTTCGACAAAGGGTCGCTTTGGTGACTTGCAGACTGAAATTCAAATGCAGCCGCTTCAACGTATCTATCGATGAAAATATTGAATGTGCTGCATCTGTTTCCCGCAGCGCAGTCGGAAAATGCAGGGTAAATTAAGCGAATCAGTTTCTGGTCGGTGAAAACTGACCTCAGGTGGCTCTAGTTGAAGTTATTGTACTGTAAAGCGATCCGTTTGGAACTTTTCAATCTTTTAATAAAGAAACACTCCCAATTTTTCCGATTTCTCACCAGCCATCCCAGAAAATCAGGGGATGTCTTCGATATCGAATTTTCATCAGTCGCAAAACTCTGAGGCAATCGGGAAACAGCGAAAACCCTTTAACCCTAGCTTTGAGCCAATCACAATAACAGCCATTACCGGAAAAACCCTTTCAAAAAGAAATGTATTGTATAAGCTCTGTGTTCTATGATAGTTTATTCAAGATAGTATACTTGCTCTCATTGAAAAAAAGGACCGCAACTGATAATCTGTTGCCTTCCTCGATAGTCCCAGGCCACACGACCTCGACGAAGAAGCTCAAGCGATAACGATACAAAATTACGTAATTAATGTCTTTCGGGGTAGCTTTTGCATTACATACAACAAATGAATTTTCCTTAAGACATTTTTCATTTAAAAATGAAAACGTTCACCAAAGTATACGCTACAGACTGTAAATTTTTCAAATCAAACTTTTGACAGCCGTTCGGCTGCTGTGTTTTAAAACGTCAAACTTGCATAAATTGCATTTTTGTCTCTGAGTCGTTCTCGTTGTGAAATGTTAGTTCCACATTGACAACGATAGTCGTTTAGAACTTTATCTTTCAAAATTGCTTGTCAAATCAAACTGCCATATCATGTCGCTGTCTAGCCACAGGAATGAAAATGTCCACAAAGGCCTCAAAGCTCCTCCTTCACAGCAGAGGCTCCAGGCATGTAGAATTTACTATTATTTTCCCAAAATATACAAGCCATCGGGAAATACCAGTATTCCAAGGGCAAAAGCTACAACTTCAACAATCTGATCCACAGTTTGTACTATTACTCCTTACCAGCAACGATTGACGAGGCGCACCTAGCGATTCAACTTCTCAACGCCGTTTTCGCGCTGAAAAATCAGGCAAGTTCGCATCCTTAGAGAGCGAGGACAATGACATACATTTTCAAATTAAATACACCACTCCGACCGAGATTCTTTCCCTTTAGATTCTTGCATTATAAACTTTTTCGAATTCACTAAGCCCTGCGTGTTTAGGTAAGGCTATCTATGTGAATTCTAATGTGGTAGACATTACAGCTTGTTGGAGACAGTAAATTTAGCATCATCAACTGAACACAATTTGTAGGCAATTAATCGCAGGAGCCATTTAGCCACACAACCAATCAAACTGTACGTAAAAACAAATTCATCAGTATAGAATGGTGTTTTAAAAAGAATTGTTAATCAACTTGCATTATTGTCAAATTTGAATACGACACAGATGGCAAAATTACCGCAGAAATGACGTGATTTATTACTGCGTCGCACAGTTAAATTGGACATGCAACCTTCAAATTTAAAAGTATACTGAAGGGGCAACAAGGCGAAAAATAATGTTGTTAAACATATCATCCGTACTGGGACTAGACCAAAGGAAGCTAAAAGGAGAGGTATGAAGAAAATCAAACGCTATGATTAGAAGAATAAACAGATTATTTAGAAAGGCGAATGGCAAATACAATTATACGGCTTGTAGTAATACATCATTTCCGCGCAAAGTAAATGCCGGCTTTTTAGCAGACTTCGAAATTTTTGCATTTAAGTTTTCACCGCCATATTTGACGATTTTTAACTCTAACTTAGTAAAGACTCAAATGTACTTTCACAACGAAGTGGTACTGAGACAAAATATGCAGCCATGGGTTTCAAATTGCTTCAAAATGAAATATGCCTTGAATTGTAAACAGACCGTTGTTAGAAACACTTACTTGATAGTCCTAAGTTAATGGATTGCAGAGATGGTTTTGCCACTTGAATCATCCTAAGTGATCTTTCAGCTTAATGAAAGGCAAATTACACTCTACCGGGAAGGTTATTTTTCTGAGTGTTTCACAATTTGTGTAGAGGGTCAACATTTTGTCCATGGTTTTCTTCTTCCTCTGTGAGGGGTAAATGAGATGAAACTCAATGATTTGGCAATACTAAATCTTCCGTGTGTCGGTGACACTTTCAGGCATTGATGGGCTTTGGACTCAAAAATAAGGCCCTTGATTACGGTAGTATATTAAAATTAACAAGGTGGAAGTCCTTCAAGTTACATGAATTTTTGTATTGGTGTTTTACAGAACCCAGCAGCTTATTGATAAGCCTACATTTGCTTCCAAGGCAAGGCAAAATGCTTTTTAAATCAGGCAAATGTACTTATTTTGCTTCTTGGAATAGTTTTTGTAAAAGGCCATGGATATGGCCCTTGAAGCTAGCCAAATTCGTTGATTGAATTTAAATGAATAAGTGTAACTTCCGTTTTCATATTTTAATCACGAAACGTTAAAAGTCAAATGTTTCAGTTTCTTTTTTCAGCTGTAATCAAAGATTCTTGTGGTAAAATCAGTGAAAAATTACTGCAACTAAACGTGGTAAACCGCAATCCTAACATGTTTTTCTTCTTTTTTTCAATTGATGATCCCTATAAATTATAGCAAAACGCTAGACAAATTATTCTTACTACCATTTTAAATTGTAAAATGCAAATTTTTAGCTTCCATTCAGTTTCTGAGAGAACATTTAATATAATTGAGAGATAAAGCTAGCCGTTTAATCCACAGTTTCCGAAATCTGACTGAACACTCTCACAAAACGATTAGCAGTCACAGCAGGGAGGAAATGTTCATCTTGAACCTTCCCTACTGGTGGCTACAATAACTGCAACTCATCCTACAAGACAAAAAGGGAACCATTCTTCTTATTTAACGTAGCTTCAGCTCGCAGATTTAAGAAAAAGGTATTTTTACCTGCTCAGAGAATGAAAGCGAGGTTTAAAACCACTTCTACAGATTTGAATTAATTTGGGTGGTAAGTAATTAATAATGGTTTCCGCTATTTACAATTGGATCATACCTTTAACAATGCATTATCGCTAAAGCTGTGAACTCAATTTGTAGGCAGAATTTTATGAGAGAAGGAAGGACGCCAAGAAGTGTGTCGCGCAGTTCTTGCACCTAAATTTGTATATAAAAATACGGAAATATTTCACATATAGAAGTTCTGTCAAAACACTGAGCTAAAAGCATGCTATAATAGATTTCATAATGATTTTTAATTTTTAAGATTTGCTATGGGCCGATGTTCCAAGCGCTACCTGCTCTCAAACCCTTTACCCGAAAAGAGAAAAAAATAATTAGGGTTAATTTGTCAGCAGGTATACTTCCTATTTTTCTATCTCCAGATTTTGTTTTATATTTCACTTTGGTTTCTCATTGGCCATTTAGATTGGCTCCGGCAGATAATAAATAAGATTAATTCGAATAAGTAAATGAATAAATACAAATATTTCAACGTATTTTGTCACTTCACAAACGCCCAGGAAAAACACCGACTAAATTTGTAAAGTACGCCCACACGTTTGAAACTCGTTTTGTGGCTTTTGCTTTCTTGTTATCGTTCTCTTCTGTGAAGTCTGGCTGAAGCAGGCTCTGCGATTCTTTTCACGAGTAAGTGTTCTTCTTCGTTGAGCATAAAATCTTATGTTAGCGTTATTGATTTCTGGATTATTAACGACAAGGGAGGATTTAGCTAATTCCTCTCCAGTTATTTTCAACTCATACACCTGAACTCTTGCGGAGAATAACGTTAAATTTATCTTGCGTTTTCTTGAATCTGTTTGGTGTCACAACCTGTCACAAATAGACCCCGCATAAAATGTCCATGCGAGCGAATTTGCAACCGACGAGGTGCTTTTTCTGGATCCTTTTAGCATCTCCGAGAAGCATGACATCTTGAAGATATCTCAAGGCAGAAGATATTACGGAGGAAAAATGCATGCTTTAGTTTAAAACTAATTTTTTCTATAAAATGTTTCCCTCTCAAGGTTCAACCAATAAGAAAACTCAACTCATCATGATGGTAAGCAACTCTTCAATAAATGACAGCTTCACAAATGAGGCGCAAGAAACCCAGCTTAAGTGGCTAAATGCTGTACAGTACACAATGTTCACAACGATCTTTGTGGTCAGCGTTATCGGGAACACTTTGGTCTGCCTCGTCATTGCACGAACTCCGCGCATGCGCACCACACGTAACTTTCTACTGGTAAACCTTGCCGTAGCTGATCTGACAGTCGCAATGCTTTGTATTCCCTTTGAAGTAGTTTTGAAGTTGACGTACCCTCGCTGGCCCCTGGGACCGGTAATGTGCAAGATACTATGGCCTACCATGACGTCAGTGACCACGTGCTCCTCGGCCACCCTTGTTGCTATCAGTTACGACAGGTAATATCAACATATCGACACAGAGAAAGAAAAATCATTTTGAAACAAACTCGATATTTCAACATGAAATTAAGCTATGTTACTTTTATGAGATTAATTCCTCTATTTGAACGAAAAAGCAAAGTAACAGCACAACGTGTAATTATGTTTTTTCTTTTTGTCTCTAGGGACAAATGACTTTAAGGCTTGATCGAAACGTCATCATGATTATTGATAAGAACGATGCTTATGGTGTTAATAATTTCAAAAGATGTTAGGTTTGATCGAATGCATCCATAGAGTTTGTTGAGCCAGTTATAGCATAATTCTGGATCTTAGCAATTCCCATTTACAAATAGGTTCCGAGCTGTTGTTCATCCTTGGAAGCCCCGTTTCACTTCAGTACAAACAACCATTATTATTGCTACCACGTGGTCAGTTTCCTACGTACTTGTGATACCCTATCTACTGGTTCTGTCAATCAAGGATAACTACTGTAGAGAAGTGTGGCCAAGTGCTGTAGCAAGGCGTACTTACACTTTGGGGCTGTTCGTCATTCAGTTTGTCGTTCCCATCTTCATCATCGCTTTTGCTTACACCAAGGTAGTATTAAAGCTGCGGGATCAAGCTGCACGTTTCGCGGTAGAGAAAAAAGACCAAGACACTGCTACCCCAGAAATTACTCGCGCAGGTCAATCTAGCAGCTTCTTGTCTGTCGAAGTCAGCGATGTGAACTCAATATCTGGATCACCTCTGCCCAACAAGAAATTTACAACCAGGCTTAACAAACTTGTTTTGTCTCCCAAATGTCCCAGAACTGGTCAAAGTAGCGCTATTCAGCGGCTTGAGCGGAACACAAAGATAGTCAAGATGCTGCTTACAGTGGTTCTCCTGTATGTGGTCTGCATGCTCCCCAACCAAGTAGTGTGGCTGTGGTACGAGTTTGGTTCCGGGCAGAACTCTCCATATCTTAGGGTACTACTAACGCTAGGAAGCTCTATGGTGTATTTGAATAGCTCAGTAAATCCGATTCTCTATGCTGGAATGAATGATGAATTTCGACGAGGGTTCATTAACCTCTTGAGATGCCGATGTAGGCGTCCTATAAACAAATGACTTTAACCGAAATGAACTCTTTCATAGACGGTTGGACGAACTTGAGCCGCAGTTTAGCGAGCGAAAGTTACTTGGAAAGGGTTACATGCTAAGTTTTCTTGGCAAGATAAGTTCCTTGTTCAAAAACTGACTTGTTAGGTGACTAGAAAATGTAATGAGCTTGGATGAATTCATAAGATACTAGCTTTGATAACTGTAATGGCTTTTAAGTATTTGTCAACGTTACCCCATAAAGTTGTTCGTGTAAAGATTGGTTAACACGTTTTTTGTGCAGCAGTATCAAGTTTTCATTATGAATGCGGCCTTATGGTCATTCAACATCGAGGACAAAATTACTGACCAAACAGTAATAACTGTTTCTTTAATTCAATGAACTTTTATCTTGATTTTCCTTGATTGTTTTCGGATTGACACCTAGATATTTAGCGACATGACAACGACATCACGGAGAACACAGGTATTTTTGTTGACCAGCTTCGTTGTCCTTCTGCTCCTTTGTGACCTTTTTGTTCTGTATTGCTGACATGTAACACAATCTAACTGGATATCGTCAAAGCAGAAAGTGTATAGTGCTATGATTCTGCTTTTGAACGAATAGCAAATGTTTCATATCTAATGATCATCTGTCCAGTTTCTCAGTATAATTGTGCGTTGCTTTCTTTAGATCGAATAGTCTTAGAATTAACAACCTACACGGTTGGCGTTACTTAGTTGAATTGTCTGCTTATGGAAGCAATAACAATATATTCGTTAACCAATAACATAGCCTATAGCTTTTAAAAATAGTAAGGAAAGAACCATGTTATCCAGAATCAAAAATAAACTCATTTTATGGAAAAGGTTATCGTTCATCTCTGCTTTATAGATTAATTACGTTACTTTAATCGTTTGTGTCACGATATAAGAGACAGGCTAATCATTCGTGTGTTGATCGATAAACCTGTAAACACCCAAGCTTCGGGAATTTCGATTCCACTATCCCTATTGATGTTGTTGGGATGAAGTCTTACATGAATAGCTTCTTTGACCCTAAGTGTGTACCAGTGGGGCCACGATCAATAAACTTAACCATGCTTTAAATAGGAATATGCCCCATTTCGTCAGCGCCCTCCGATTAACTTCATCCTAACAACATCAATAGGGATAATGGAATAGAAAGTCAACGATCAAAGAACACAACACTTGATCAATGAAGACTTATGAGGGAACACTACCCAATGATGAAGACTAGCAGTATTGCAGTCGAAACGACGCGATCAACATCCAAAGTGACTCCATCGTGAGACAAACGAATAAAGTTCATCTCCTACCATGTTCTTGTTATTACTATTATTGTTATTGTTATTACCAATTCATATGCCGTGCATTACTTACAATACTTATTATGCTGGCACAACTAATGTGCTGACACTATCATTTGTTACAATAAAGTCTGTATATAACACGTGCTGTCATTGGTTGAAAGAGCGTGCTCTTTGAGAGTATAGAGCTGAGGTAAAGCTGTCACGCCATCGGCCAAATTTTGCCATGTCCGACCCTTTCCGGGACTTCTCTCTAACCCTTTTTTCGTTAATTGAAAGTAAAATTTCAGAACAAGCGAGCCAACATGTACCAACAGAAGAACCAAACAATGGTTTTTAAAAAGGCCAGGCGCCGTAATTTACGTTATTATAACGCAAGTAGAGACGGAAATCCTAAAAGAGAAAACGAAATGGACAGTCCAAGATTTTCACGCTCAGTTCGATTGCAAGCTTACGTACGATAATAAGAATCAAACACAGCTAACACTCGCATAGTAAATAAAGTTTCGTGTTAAGAAAAACAATAAATTCCGCTGTCGTTCATTCATAAAACAATCACCTTGAACAGTTTGTTTTCTTCTTGTCATGTAAAAAAACGTGCATGTTTTTATGAGCCGAATTTTTACTGAACATTTCACTTTCAGATTCTGTGTTAGAGACTAAAATAACTTCAGGCGGGATTGACAGCTTTAGTCTTGTGCAGCCAATCAGATCATTTGAATCATTTTACCAGGGATCCTGATTGGCTCATTGTAACGTGCTTTATTTGAGTATAGAGCATGCCGACGACACTTTTGTTCGCTTCTGAATAAAGTTTGTTTTGAAAATTGGAAGGTATGCTTGGGAACTTTAACGGATTCTTTATTGCAAAACAAATAGAGGAGCCTTGACTGTGCTCTGTTCTGCTCTAAAGCATTTAGGAAGCGACTAGAGCACTCAAAAAGTGGGGAGATTACGTCTCGTGTTTCTCCCAACACTTCTTTCGTGCTTTAGCCGCTTCCTGTGCGCTTTACAACAGAGCAGAGCACAGTCAAGGCTTCTCTAATTGTTAATTAGAACATTTATATCACTGACAATACTAATACTACTTACAAGGCCAATAATAATTAATAATTATTCACCGAAGTAGAGGCAAAAAGTGTTGGATATTTTACCGAGCCGCGAAACGAGGAAGTAAATATCTACCACTTTCACTGACAACGAGGTGAATAATTTTCTTGGTGTATGCCGTATAGAAACCAAAAAAAAACTAGTTTATTTCTGTAAATATACCAAAAAAATTGGTCGGCAACTAAATTTTTGACACGCGATTTCGTCTCTTTGGCTGTTCGGTGGTGAATAGCGCTTGCTTATCACCTCCAGATCAACCAATCAGCGCGCCTGTATAATACTATTCGCCTGTGTGGTATAGATTAACTATATTCACTGAAACTAGACGCACTAATCTATGAAAAGGTAATTTTTGGTAAAATTGCAAAAACTACCTAAAATGTTAATACCAATCATATCAGTATTAATGAAACTACATTCATTACTGATAATAATAATACTTGCTAAAACGCAAAGCGCAAAGTTACTTACTACCAATACCACCAGCAAAGAGGGAATTTGTTTTTAGAAAATAGTAACAAAATTACTTATGACATTAACAAACGAAAAAAATAAATACATACATGAAATTTTGAAAAGGAAAATTGTTTTTATTAACCCAACAACAAGAGAGAATACTTTACCTGCCTCTCTAGCCCAACATTGGATATTTACCCTCAAAACGTTTTCTGCTTAAAAGCTAGCTAATTACAATGTTTTTTCCATACACGTTTAATAATTTTGATGTAACTAAGGCAGATCAAAGATCATTATATTTGATATTAGCTTCAAGTCTAGAGGAGAAGCGTCTTTGTAATGTGATCCTAACAACTGGAAAACTTTTCAGGATACTTATTTTTTCTGGCAGAGTAGAAAAGTAACTTTTGGTATAAAGTCTTTTAAAGTTTTTTAATCTTGTCTATCTTTTGACGTCACAAATTCTATCAGCCCTTTCCTGATACCGAAAATAAAGGCTTAAGAGGTCCCGGAAGAATCATCATCCGTAAACCGGAAATGAGTGCCTTTCGCGCGTGGGATGAGTTGACAGACACCTAATCTTCCGTTTATTTATTCAGTGTGGCTGAAATTAGTTTATATCGAGCTGAAAAGGAGAATCAAATTGAAAGACATCAATCAAGAATCGATTAAAAATTTGGGACGGAACTCCGCTCTATTTCGGAATGTGTTACAAATTAGAACACCGAAAACCACCATTCTCCAAGTCGGGAATTGAACACTCCGGCAACAGGTTAACTGGTCAAGATGACGGACTCGATGCGCTAAGAGTGCGAGCTACAAACAAATCGAGGTATCTTTTTATATGTATATATTTATATATTTTTTAACTACTGATTATTAAACCTTATGTTTATGTTTATATTTATCTTTTTTTTTTTCAATTTCGCGGTGTTCCGGCATGTTCCGCGATGTTTCCGGCGTTGTTCCGACTTATTTAGCATATGCTCTCTATTTCAGCGTTTAAGATACTTAATCTGATTTCTGGTCTGAAAGACCAAGTCAAGAGGTTCGGTCTAGCATCATGTGACCTGAAACTCTACCGCCTTGAAGTGGGAGAATGGAAATTAACTCTATATCAACTCAAAAGAATCTCGATCTGGAGTTAACCTTGTTTCTTAACTCTGACGATAAAAATGAACTGAACGATAAGAAGTCTAAGTAGTGAATTCAATCCTGAAATAGGTTAGAAGTGCGTTCATTTTTCTTTTTCCCTCGCAACTGCACACACATGCTGCCAGGCAATGCATTTTGTCTACCAGTGCGTGTAATATTAAACGTTCAGGTCTTGGGTATTTAAATAGTAGATATGGAAATGGTAATCAGTCCATAGAGCGAGATAGGAGATTGTAGTCTCAATTATCAGGGCCTGGAAAATAAAATTTATGTATTAAGTGTCATCGCACTAGAAAAGAACATTGTTATTTAACCTGGGATTGAGGTGGGTGACTACTTCTCTGATACGAAGATTTTTTTCCCTATTTTTGTTAATTGGAAAGGCGTTACACGAAAAACTTATTTTATGGAAAAACAATCAGGTCTCTGCGTTTCAAAATTACGTATTTCTTCGGAATAATGAAACCTTTGTGGCTTTAATTTTCATTGAAGGGATTGAACTTTCTCCAAATGTCATCAGGTAAACGTAAACAGCATCGTAGGAGTTCGAAATTAAATTAGATTAGGAACGGCTCCGATTAAAGTAATAACCATAAGCCAAGATTACTACAAGGCAAAAGGCCCAGCGGGGTCTTCTTTATCATATTTGTTTTAGGTATTGACTTTATTCTAACGATTGATATTGTCAGTAGTTATTGTTTTAAGCCATTTTTCAGGTACACTAGTAATAAACAAATGAACTATTACCTAAAAAAGGAAATCAACCAGACCCTGCATGCAAATTTTAAAAAAATTACAAAAGATAAAAAGTCAAGGAAAAAAGATATGTCAAAATTTGCATACCCTTGTAAAATCATGATTTTCAAATGTTGCCTAAAAGTTGTGTCTTTGTTGTGGGCACACTGTTAAAATTTTGAACAGAAACCATATTGCATGTACCTCCTGTCTTTAAACCTGGAGGGCGTCAAAATTATACCGAGTTTTTTTCAAGTTTGGTATTGCGAACACCTTATTGTTTTCATTGTTTTATCTGATTTGTGATCATGGTAGAGGAAGCTAAATTAAACTTTTTTATCTGTCATGAAAGTTAAAAAGCGGCAGGAGATCTTCAAAGAAAGACGTTTATGAATAAAACATTGATTCATTTGGTGATTTTGAATACAGCTTCTTTTCATAGTCGGGGTTTGTTTCAATTTATGGTTTCATTGCATGATTGGGGCAGCTGCATCCCTGCTAGATATATCGAAATGATAATTCAGCAGAGATGTTATTCTAGAAAGTGTGAAGAGGAAATAGCATGAGTTTGACTCGCTGCTCCCTGTTGTAACCGACTGTAAACTAAAAAACATAGAAAAAATAATCTCTGGACGTGGTGAGGATTTCTTTTTTTCTTATAGTTATATTTATAATAGAGATGATCTTGTTATATAATATCGTGCTCGACAGTCGGGATGTTTTGAAATAAGATGAACTAGAAGGAGCTAACCTAGCTTCTTTTCAACATCGACTTTTGTTTTAAATACTGCATGATGAATTCGGAAAACACTGCGGTGTTTGTGGTTCAAAAAAAAAAACTTAAAGCGATCTAACATTAGAGAAAACCATTTACATATTGCAGCAGTTTAGAGATAAAAAACTCATATCCTACAAGCAACAGATAATTCCTCTTTATCATCGTATATAAAAAAAAAGAAAAAAACTTCAAAACTTTCAACAGACCCTGGGAGCTTCAAACGGATGCAGCACGTTTTTCATCCTTCTCCCACATGTAGCAACAGAAAATTTGGCATGCTCGCTGGTCATTCTGCCAATAATCC